TTTTCCTAACACAGGTCTGCTAACGAGACAAGTATATTTTTGGGGATGGGGATGATGTTTTGCTTAACTGGGATTCAAAGTTTTAAGTCTTCCATATAAAAGAGATCCCAATGTGTACCTGCACAAATTATTCTTAGCTCATGGGTGGTACCAAAACAGGCACGTGGAGTTTGGTGACAAAGCCAAGGCAGAGCCCAAGAATCTGCATTTCACAAGCTCCCCTGGGGATTCTAGGACCCAAAAGTCTCTCCTATCCACTCAAGGGACCTCTGGCTTTACAGGGAGAAGATAGAGCTCTGCTGCCCGCCAGTCCAGCCTCCCCCAAACCCTAGCTGATCCAGAACGCCACTGCTGGGCTTACCGTTAAAGAGGTGTTAGGAAGATTAAATGAGATGATCCACAAGGCACAATTAGTGTGCTCTGTCCCAGATACTAAGGACATGCCACCATGCCACAGTTTTTTTGGCTGTGGGTGGAGACCAAGAAAAACCAAAACATTGTTGTAAGACCTCATGCAACCCCCTGCCTAAGAGTAGCCCCTGCCTGTCTTGTCCTTACACATAAAGTACCCTCCGACACCTAACAGGCCAGATTCCACTTCAGCCTAGCCAGACCTGGCTGTGCTACAGCACATTCACGCTGGCTTCTCTTTGAAACATCCACCCGAGGCCTGTGGTCTGGACCAACCCCCACCTAATACCTTCAAGCAGGCGGCTACCCAGGCTTCAGTCCCGGCCTTCAATAGCAGGAAACCCAGTCTCTTCATACAGTGGCACTGTTCCAAAGTCAGAGAAGAAAAAGCTTTTCCCCACAGTGCCTTACAAACTGCCACACTTTTGCTAGCTGAGTTTGAATCCTGGTTCTGCCACTTCTTTACCCTCCAATGACCCTTCTCTGCCTCAATTTCCTTAAGCCTAACACAAGGATAACAATAGCACCTACTTTATAGTGCTGTTTGGATAAATTAATTGATTCATGTAATCCACTTAGCACTGTGCCAGGCACAGCATGGGGCCGTGTAAGCACTTGCTATTATTGTCGTTGTTATCCTAAACCACGAAGTCTAAAGTGATGCCTGATTGAACCCCAACATTTTTCTGGGAATAACATCATCCTAAACTGAACATCTGCGGAGGGCCAAATCAAACCAGTTTTGTCACTTACTGATTGAACACTATTATTGTTTCCATTTTAGTGGAAACCAGGCGTCAAAGAGGTGGATTGAAGAAACCTGCACCGGTGGGACAAGATCCTACCTGGGGGGAGGGAGGGAGCCTCAAGCCCAGGTCTGTGTAGTTCCAGAACCCTTCTTCTCCACGGAGCCTCCAGACTCAAAACTACAACAGCAGCAGCAACCAGTTAACAAAACTCAGCTGGTCGCGCCTTCGGAGATCTCAGTTTTCTGTCTGTGATCACTGCTTGGCTTACCAGAAGTAGAGCGAATGTCAGGCTATTTGAACCCAATTAGGCAGTAAGTCAGTCTGGAAAACATCATGCTGATATATTCCAAAGGTCAAAGCCCATTTCCAGGGCAGGCTTTGCCGGACCCTGCCATGAAACTTAAATCTCTATACAGCCAGCAGGGTTCAGCTATTGAGTACATACACAGAACCCGCCAAAGCTTTCTCTAAGTGCCAGAGACCATCATTAGAGTTCAAGAATACACTTCCGGGGTCTTCAGCCAACCGCCAGAGAAACGTCGTTTACTTTCTTTCCAAAAGCAAACCTTACTCCTTTTAGGTTCAGAGTCATATTTACTATTGTAGGAAGCTGTCTGCCTTCCCTTCGCAAAATAAGGGGGGGAGGACGAGGGGGCTCCCCCACCCTGTAGGGTGCCGCAGCACCTAAGAAGACACGCAGCTCGACCTACCTTCAAGGAGTGCCCGGCCCTGAGGGCGTTACCCTACGCATCCCTGAAAACTTGTCCCTCCCGGGGAAGAAGCTGCTGTCCTTGGCTTCTGCCAGGGCCATTAGAGTTGCACGCGCGCAAACACTACCCCCGCCACCGTCCGCCAAAAGAAACCTCCAGTTTCATGTTTTAGCACAGCGCCCTATCACTTCCGCCGAAGAGGCAAACGCCAGGGCCATCGGTTCGTCCTCAAGGCCACATTTAACTACGTCTAGACCGCCTGCAGGAGGAACGGCGCAATACCCGGGCGCAGAGGGGCGGGGGAGACTGGGAGCCCGATGGGGGTGGGGAACTGGCAGAGCGATCGTCACCCTCCGAGAACCGCGACTCCAACAAGGCCGCAGGCCGTACGTGGAAACCCCGAAGGACACAGCACCACGGGGGTGGCGGGGTCCCTGGAGCCAGCTCCCCAGCCGCCTGCGCGCCAGAGCCGTCGGGGCGATGGCGCAAGACTCCGCTCCACCCCCCCAGCGACAACAACCACGGTGACAAGATGGCAGCCCAGCGCCCGGCAGTCGTGCCACAGGCGCGCAGGGCCCAGGCGGCTGCCCCCGCCCCCCCAATAACGCCTTGGCGCCCTGGGGCTCGGCCCCCAGCGGCCCTGGCTATTAAAACCCCAACCCTAAATAAAACATCCGGAGCTCGCGCCCCGCTCGGGGAGCCAGGCCGGCGGCACACGCGCACCCTAAGCCCCCAGCTGCCCGCCCGCCCGCACGCCCGCGCCCCGCATTCGGCGCCCCGCATTCTGAGCCCCGCGCCCGTGGGGGAGGGGCGGGCGGTCGCAGGAGCCCAGGAAACATGGCTGCTCGTCCTAGTTCGGCGTCGCGGCGTGGCCACCAGCCCCCGGATCCGAGTTGGGAGAGGTTCCGAAGGTGGGTGTGTGGGGGCTCCGTGGGGGGCCGCGGCGGGGAGGGGCGCACCCAGGGAGCTGTTGGCCTAAAGGATGTTTATTTTTTAAAAAATAAGACTCTCCTCCCCCACCCCTTTTGTCCCTCTTTCGTGAGCTTTCTCCCTCCCCCCCTAAAGTGCCCAAAGTGCCCCCGCCCCCGCGCCCCACCCCGCCTTCAGTCGGGGGGCCGAGCGCCGGCCGAGGACCCGGGGCGAGGGGCGCAGCGTGAGAACCCGCTCCCGGCGCGCGCCCCGCCCCTCGCGCACACTCGGGAAGTTTAAAGAGCCGGTTCGACCCGCTTTCGATCTCGCTCCGGGTTGGCCAGCAGTATCGGTCGGGTTCGCCGGGCCAACGCGTCCGCACACCCGCCGGGCGCGACCCCGGCCCCTCCCGGGCGCGATTCCCCTCCCCCCGGCGCGGGGGGCTTCCGGAAAGTACGCGGGAAGATCGCGGCCGCCCCTCCCCCAGCACCACGCCCAGCCCCCCAACGCCGGCTCCGAACTGGGCGCAGCGACCGGGGTCGGCGGAAACTCCAACCGGCGCCACGGCGCCCCCTCCGCGCCCCGAGAGCCACGAGGCGCTCGCACGTCCACAGTGCACAGCTGCCTTAGGAAGGGGGGTGGGGGACAGCGACAAAAAGGATCTTGTTTTCGAAAGTCTCGCTCAGGTCTGGAGGAGGAACTAGGGGAAAGAGGAAGAAGCCGGCCTGCTTGGCCAGAGAACCAGGGCTCCAGGCTGGAGGGGCGACGACCGACGCGCGCTGCTCCCCAAACTCCGCGCCACCCTGGCACCGAGGCGGAGGGGCGCTTCCCGACCACGCGTCCCTGGTCCCCGCGAGGGACCCGCGGGAACTCGGCCGGCGTCTCCGCCTAAGACCCAGGGGTCTCCAACACTGTGTCGCCAACTCGCAGAAAACGCGCGTTGGGAAGCGAGAGGGAGCCAGAAATAAAAACCAGCGTTCAAGTCACCACCCTCTGCGTCCCCTCCGCGGCGGTGGGCTCTCGCGCCCCCACCCGCGTAAGTTTCCTCTGGCCGCTGCTCAATGCGAGACGGCGACGCGGAGCAGACCCCATCCCGGGCTGCGCGCCCGCCGCGCCCGCCTTAGCGTGGGCCCAGCCGGTGCCCACCGCGGGCGCCGGTTCCGGGCAGCTCGCGTCCTGACAAAGTTTCCGTGCCCATTTATTAGCCTGGCGCCGCATGGCTGCCGGGGAGCCCACCCCGGGGAAAGCGGCTCGGGCCGGGGTGGGCTAGGCGGAGGGTCAGGGCCGGCATCTGAGCGGTGAGCTGGGGGAGCGGGCCCCGTAACGTCGCCTTTGGGCAACTTGCACAGCGGTCGCGGGCGGTGGGGAGCGCGGGGATGATCCTCCGTTCCTCTGCGCGCTCCCCAGTCTCTCCCCTCCTCCTCCCGGGCCCTCGGTGAGGAAGGAGAGCGAGAAAGCTCAGCCTCGAGCCCCAAGGTGGGGTGGAAAGAGTGAGGGAGAGAGAAGAGCAGAGGAAGGAAGGCAGAGAAGAGGGAGGGAGGGAGAGAAAGGGCGCGTTCACGAACACTACAAAGTTACAAATATGGCTCCCCCGTCTCTCGCCTCATCACTGCAAAGAGACGAAGGCGCACTCGGAACTCGGCCTCCCCAACTCCGCGCGGCCCCCTCCCCACACGCCCCCGGGGGGTTCCTGCCCACATTTACCAAAACTAAACCGGACTCGCGGAGCCCAAAACTTATTGTGTGCGTGCGATCCGGAGAGGGGGAGAGGGAGGGGGCGGCGCGGGAGGGGGCGCATTTATAAAATACACTCCCTTTTTGTTGTAGAATCCAGGAGGCAGCCCCTCTCTTCCCCATCGCCCGATCACCTCTCCCCAGGAGTCGGGGAGCCGCGGGCCCCGAGGGCGATTGCGCCCCTTTCTCTGAGACCCCGGCGCGTGCGCCCGCCGGCCCCCGATGGGTGCACACTCGCACCCACACTCGCACACGCGGGAGCACACGCACAGGTAGTCACACACCAAGGGCAGCGGCCGCGGCAGCCGGAACACGCACGGGTGGCATTGCAGCCCCCCCCCCACAACCTTGCAATTCATTCGCAGTCCGACCCCCAAGCTCACACCTCCCGGGCGCCCCCCTAAAAAAAGTCCCTCCCCCCCAACACACACACACATACACAAAGTAGGAGAATGGACCGACAGAGATATTTTTGGCAAATGCTCACATCAGAGGGCGTCCTGTTCCGCAGCTCTAAATGAATCCGTTTGTCCATTTCCATCTCTCGCACTCTCTCTCTGCAGAGGCTCCCGCGCCGGCGGAATTCAATCAATAAACCCCGAACCCACGGCCGCGCGTTTTAGGACTTTGAAGGCTCAACCAGCTCCGCTCGGTTCTCGAGCCCCCAGCACCCGCGGCGCACACTAACCTGATCACCGTGGAGGCGGGATCTGGAGCTCTACGGTTGAGCGGCAGGAGTTCTAGCCAATCTTTGCCGAGAATGTCCGCACCACAGCCAATGGTGGTGTCGGCGGGTGGGGAGGAAGGGTCCAATGAGCGGACTGCGCAGCCGGCCTGGGAGGCTCAGCCATTTGGTTGTGGTGCTGGAGCCTGAGCTCCTTAGATTTTTGGGGCGGCGGAGAAGCGAAGCAGTGGCTGCGGCGGCTCCGACTGCTGAGCGCGGGGGGGTGGGCGGAATGGCAGGGGAAGGGAAGGTGACTGTACCTCGAGGGCCGAGCCGCCCGGCCTCGGCGTTTGGCCGGGGGCGGGCCCGCAGGTGCGTTCCCGCGGGGGAGGGGCGCGGCCGGAGGGGTCGGGTCGGTCCCCGCCCGGCTAGCGAGGCTCGGGGGCCGTGAGCCGGGCTGCGGGAGGTGCTGGCGGCTGGCGATCGGGGGCCTGGAAAGGGAAGAGGGCGGGGGGGGGCTGGGTCTGGAGTGTCGCGCTGGAAGAGTGCGGTTGTCCCCCACCTGCGCCGTGACCCCTGCCACCACCGTGTAGCTGCGTCCAAGCCCGACCTCCGCCTTCGCCGCCGCCTCCAGGATAAATAAATAAAAGCGAGGTGCTTTCACTTTTGGGTGACTTAGCTGGGCCTCGCCCCTCGCCGCACGAGGGGGGATTTCATTTTGCTGTCTGTCACAGGAGGCCACTTTGCTAGGAGCGATGTGCCAGAGGCACCCGGGATCGTGTTTAGGGCATACAAGAAGCCCTTGGACTAAGAACTGTTGCTGAATATGTAGAATTTGAAAATAGAAAGGGAAGGTACTATACTAATGCTTCATCTTTTTTCCGGGCCAAACAATTTATGGGCTCTCTAGACCTAGTGAAAGAACGTCACGGAGTTTATTCTAACCCTCCACCGAGTCATTAAGTTCAATCAGAGCTGCCAGGGACGCACCAGTGGAGCACTTGCTGCAGGTTTTTCGGTTTGCTTGCGTTGTGTTTTATTTTAAATCACAATATCTGCCTTTAAAAAACAACAACAACAGCAAAAAATCCTTAAATCCCTGTTTCCTCTGGTTACCATCTTATGGCTAGCCTAGGACCTTGTCATGTCATCGGTTGGCTGCCTGTGGTTGTTAATAAATCACTGGGATTGTTGTCAAGCTGGACAGCTCTACTTTTTTCTGCTACATAAGTCTTTTAATGTCTTCTTTCTCCACGTCTGTACTTTCTCCACAGACCCCAAGATAGTTTTTGGTTTGTTTTCTTGAAACACTTTTGTTTTTCAGGGAGAGAGAAACTGATTGTATGTTGCAAATGTAAAAATACGGTTACATAACACATAGTTTCATATTTCAACATAAAAAATTTAGGAGGAAAGAAAACGCTGCAGAGTGTAAATAAAAGACACATACAAGCTTACACTGGGAAGAAACTGTAGTACCTAATATTGCAACATGATGGCTTGCAAAGGTCTTACAACTAAGTGTCCGTTCTTCCAGACAAAGTGGAATTCTGAAAACTGACAAATGTTTATGCTTTAGCTGGGAAATGCAAACTAAAAATTAAAAGTCATTTCATCTTCTCATAAGCGATATAATTTATTTAACTTGTTGACTTAGCTTACATCCTCAGATTTTGTTAATCATGCAGAAGGCCATTTGGGTGTGTAGGAGTTTTTGTCTTGTTTTTAAAACTCAGCGAACACGGGGGACTCTAAAACACCTCTTTCTCCAGTAAGTCCAGTTGTTATTTCTGGGATGATGTTTAAGCTTGTTTTACAACAGAACTCTTCACCCCAAATATATAAATCAGTGCTGTAAAAACCCTATAACACAAGAGTCCTGAAACTCGTGTTTTCTTTGGTAAATGCTCATTTTCAATTTCAAATTTTAACTACAGTTGAGACCATACTACTAGCAATGTGGTGAGGGCACAGCACCTTTGCAGAAGAATGATTCCTTTAAAAACCTTAAATCAAATGTAGAGATGTGTGCCCAGCCATCTCTGTCTCTTCCCCCACCTGTACAAGATGAGATATTCTCTCTCTCTCTCTCTCTCTCTCTCTCTCTCTCTCTCTCTCTCTCTCCTTGCAACGTGAGGGATTGAACCCAGGGAGTACTGAGCTATATCACCAGCCTTTTTTTTTTTTTGGAGACTGGTCTACCTCCCTGTGATGACAGGGATGTGCTGCCATACCTAGCCCTTTATTTTGATAACAGTTTTTCTATCAGTATTAAGTACCTTGAACAAGTGTTCACTGAATATCAATCATTGCAGAAGCTAAAACATGAATTTTTTTTGAGAACTGCATATTTTCCAATAAGCTTTTGGGTCTCATCTCCTCCTAGTGACCCTGAGGACGAAGGTTTTGTTTATTTCCCTGGCATTGTTTTAATTTTATTTTTATTTACTTTTTTGGCAGAACTGGGGATTGAACTCAGATCCTTGTGCTTACCAGGGAAACACTTATTCTCCTTGGCCCTCCAATATGCTTTGAAAGAAGAAATTTCCTATTGCTTAGTTTATTTCTATATGCTTTTTTTGTTTGTTTGGTTAAGACAGGGTTTCACTCTAGTTCATGCTGGCCTTGAGCTTACAACATAGCCAGGGCTAGTTTCAGTCAGGGATCCTCCTGCTTCAGCCTCAGGGGTGCTGGGGTTACAAGTGCAGCACCACATCCAGCCAATGATTTTCAGTTTCTTTGATCTTCAGGAATGTAGCTATGCTCAGGTTGAGCTGTTTTCTCCGCAAGGCTTAAGCAAGCATCAAAAAGTGCCCTTATGTGCCTTATTTTATGGGGTAACTAAGTCATTGTAGCACATGTAATAGTAGTCTCTAAGTGCCCTAAATGGTTCTGTGTTTCAGGAAATGCTGTGATGGCCCCCTCTCAAGGAATCTCAGCCGAATTTTGATACAGAATGGGTACAGCTGAGCTCCTTGCCACTGCGCAATTCTGCAGTGGGAGTTTGGTTATGAAGGATGTAGTCCCTTGGACGTGGCTCTGATTCCTGCGGAGAAGAATCTATGAGATACAGTCAAAAAGTGTGGAGCCCCTGGAAAGGAAACGACTTCAAGTGGGAAAGATACCTTGTTGCCTTCCAAAATATTTTCTGTCAAAAACTATCTGAACAGCCTGTCTTGTCCTCAAAGAGTTGTTCTTAGCATCTTTGGAAATACGTTGGAAGGACCACAGGTTTGCTGGCCTCTAAAGCTGGAAACACTGATTAGCAGCCTCCTTGTGAGCCATGTGCCCTGGGCCACCAGCGTCCGAGGTGAAGACTAGCGCAGAGGTGCGCCGTGGCCTCAGTTCAAACTTTTGTCCTTCCCTGTGAAGTACAGGCCCCTGGAACCTGGCTGGAGTCCCGTCCTGTACCCTGCTGCGTGGACCCCAAAGACAATGTGATGGGAAGACGCCAGCTTTATTATGTTCTCTTTTGTCTTTCTATCTAAATAGCTGCTAGAGATATAGATAATCCTTTTGAAATCCATGGTAACAAATGTGAAGTCTATAGCATTGAGTATCAAAAACATGTAGAGACCTAGAATCTGAAAAATTATTCTTAATTTTCTTTTGTTTTAAGAAAAGCATTGGATGATTTTTTTTTTTTTTTTTTTTATTCTTAATTTTCTTTTGTTTTAAGAAAAGCATTGGATGATTTTTTTATTTTTTTTTTTAATTTTAAAGAAATGACTTGGGGCTGGGGAGATGGCTCATTAGAATACAGGCTTCCCTGGCAAGTATGAGGGCCTGAGTTCAATCCCCAGTTCTGCCCCCCCAAAAAAGAAAGAAATGACTAATAGTTGCCTAATCAGTGGATTTGTGGGGGAAAAGAGTACTGTGAGGTGAAAACGGGCATGTAATTTTAAAAATTCATAGTGAAATTCTTAGCTTCATTTTTAAAGATTTTTGAATGGAGATGAAAAGCACCATCACCTACACACATGTTGGAAATCACTAGAAATTTTATTAAATATATTTATTAAAAATATTTGGGGATTAGTGATACTAAAAAAAATTGCCACTCATCAAGAAAATCAAAGCTATAGATTCTTATTTTTAGTATTAAAATATGGCTATAAATAAATTTTATTTATTTATTTTGAACTCAGACCCTTGTGCTTGCCAGGGAAGTGCTTATTCTACTGAGCCATCTCCCCAGCCCCCCATAAATAAAAAATTAAAAAAAAAAACAACATCTGGGCATAGGACACACCTGTCATCCCAGCATTTGGGATGCTGAGGCAGGAAGAGCATTTGACTTTGAACTAAATAGTGAGATCTTTAAAAAAAAAGCAGTGATATTTTTAAAAATTATATTCTACAACTATTTGAATTAGATAGTTAATGCGTTATAAGAAAGCGGTAACTTTTTGTGTGCTCAGTGCTAGGGATTGAATCCAAGACCTTTGCACTGAGCTGCATCGTAGCCCTTGTGTCATCTAGGCAGGGACTGAACACATAGCTAAGTCACCCCTCCCAACCTCCACGGATTTCTAGTTGAAATGTATGCTTTTCAGAGAGTATTAAAACTTCCCCGGAAGTTCTGGATCCCAGCGACTTCAGTATAAAAAGTTTGAAATCATTTGCATACATCCAAATGACCCAGGTTAGGTGCTGAGGCCTTCCACTGCAGGGAGGTGAACGTTTTCTACGCTCCACCACATGGGCTTTCTAGTCTAGTGGTTGAACTCACTTGCATGCTTTCTTGGATCAGAGAATTCTGTGCCTTCTGCATATATTTATTCAAAGCCAATTTTATTTTATGTCATTTATTTATGTGATACAGGGTCTCACTATTGCAGTTCACACTGATAGTGACCCTCCTGTCTCAGGCTCTCCAGCACTGGGATTACAGGCGTGCATCTTTTGGGGCTGGCATGGCACAGCCGGGTCCTGGGGCCAGCACCGCATGCGGTACAGGGGATCAAACTCAGGACCCTGCACTTGCCAAGCAGGCGCTTAGACCGCCGAGCTGTCTTCCCAGCCCTCAAAGGTGATTTTAGCGTGACAGATACATTTTCCTAGGCTGGGACAGCTCAAGCTGTCTGGGTTCATTTGGAGAAGGCATGCTGGAGATCAAGTGGATTCAGGACACAGGTGCGTGAAGTATAACAAATATGGTGGCCTTGGTGCCGTGGCACTTCTGGTAATACCTTAAGAAAGAAAGGGCACATCCCTGTGAACTGGAAAAGGCTAGGCAGGGTGTATTACCTCTCCATTAAAAAAAAAATTT